GAGACGACCACATCCCCATCGCGCTCTTTCGAAAGAGCATTGAGTATGGATCCAAGCAGGTTCTTGGCCAGACCCGTGTGCTTCTTCTTCATCCCCCACCTCCTGTACTCTTCGTCTGGATTGTAGATGTGGTGTATGAACTCGTCCATTGTTCTCTTGTTGTCGCCCATTATGAACGTGCGGCTGTTCTTCTCCCACATGTCCATAAAGGCGCTTTTGTCATTACCAGCGAGCTCTGATATGTTCCGTTCCCTGGTATAGCTGTCTCTGTTCTCTGCAATCTTTGTAACAATCTCTGTGATATTCCTATTTCTGGTCTCACTGTCTACATCTGTCCTGAGCAGTGCAGAAAAGCCCTCTCCATACACTGCCACAAGGACTCCTCTGTTGGCCTTGATCGTCTCAATGACCTCGGGCCTCAGCCTGTCCCACTCCCTCACAAACATGCTCTCATTCCACAGCCTCACCAATTCTTCCTCGCTGCATTTCAACTCAGGAACTGACGGCGGTCTGAGTGTTCTCAGCATCTCGAAGTTCCAGTGCATTGGCTTGCTCTTAAGTTCTCTGTACACGTCCTCGACTGAAATTTCATCTTCTTCATATTCAACGATGTCGTTATCAAGCATAACACGATCCCCAAATATCTCTCTCAGCTCTCTCCTGCCCACAGTTCTTTCTCCATCACCAACCTCTGAAATGTTATTTCCCATCAAATTCAGTAATCGCAACGAACCTGACAACTTTTCTATCTCAATTGGCAATGTCTCAAGTTTGTTATCATTGAGATACAGTTCTCCTAGATGCTCCAGCTCTTCTAGCTTAGCCGGTAGTGTCTCAAGCTTGTTATTACCAAGAAACAGATGTTGTAGATTCTTCAGCTTTACTATCACAGTTGGAAATGATTCAAATTCGTTGTATCCAAGATACAAGGTCTGTAGTTCCTTCAACGTTTCTATCTCGTCTGGTAATAGCTTTAGCTTGTTACCACGGAGATACAAGGTCTGTAGTTTCTTTAGCTCTGCTATCACTGTTGGAAATGATTCAAGTTCGTTATCATCGAGATGCAAGGTCCGTAGTTCCTTCATCTCTCCTATCTCGTCTGGCAATAGCTTTAGCTTGTTACCACGAAGTTCTAAGCGCTGTAGTTTCTTTAGCTCTGCTATCTCAATTGGGAATAATCCAAATTTGTTATCATTGAGATCCAGTCTTTCTAGATTCTTTAGTTTTCTTATCACTGTTGGAAATGATTCAAATTTGTTATGACCAAGATCCAGATGCTGTAAATTCTTCAACTCCTCTACCTCATATGGTAATGTCCTGAGCCTATTGCCATATAGATCCAGATGCTGTAAATTCTTCAACTCCTCTACCTCATATGGTAATGTCCTGAGCCTATTGCCATATAGATCCAGATGCTGTAAATTCTTCAATTCTCCTATCTCGGGTGGCAATGTCTTGAGATTGTTAAGACTGAGTTCCAGCTTCTCTAGCTTCACTAGTCTCTTAATATTGCTGTCAATATACCTAATGCCTTGTCTACATATAGATATTTCAGTCGTATCCACAGGATAATTTCCAAAGCTATAGATTCCACCTGGGTTTGTATTACTGCCTGAGCTCTGGAGTGTAACTCCCATGAGTACAACTAGGTTATAGATTGCTTTGCATGCCTTTCTCATTCGTACAATATTCATTAAGGGGTATGTGCTAAAAATTTTTAAATAGTTGAATTTGACAGTATCAATGATATATCTCCAAGTTAAAAATCACAATGTCACATATAAGATTTAACTACAAGCACGACAGTAATTACTGCCAATAGCACATTGACTGTGCTGGTAAATTGTGAGTAAGTTCTACCACTCAAAAATTCAGCTTGAAAATAGGATACTGACAGATGTCAAACATGTCATACTAAATCATTCCGGTGCAATCACTCTAGACTATACTTGTGGTCCGTTGGATAAATAACACAATGTGGCATTTAGTGCACAACTTGGCTACATCCTTTGTGCAATTCAGTTGAATGTAGGTATTGGGCGTGCTGCTGATTGTCAAATGTCCAGTGCAGCATACAAGCATATTCCCCGTAGCATGCTGTGGCTGGAGATCGCATGCGAATATACATAAATATAATTAAACCATAAAGCCAGCGACAAAAAAAGTTAGTTTGCATTTATTTAAGTACTGGTCAGAAGAGTGAATTGAGTAAATCCTACGTGGTCATGATCAGGCACACGAACAGACTACACATTCATAGATGACTCTTGTCTGTGGTCTCTATCAGACATAGAAATAGTTTGTTCTCTGTACAGATCGTGTAGCCACTCCTGCTATTATCAAGAACATCCTCTGCTTGTCTACACGCTTGCATTAACCAGCTACTAGACTCTTGGCATAGAAGTGAGCAGTCCGAGGATGAGCCATTGCCAGCACTGCTAGAAATAGGTGGCATCTAGTAGAATGAGTCTCAGATGACTTTCACAAGGAAGAATGTGCCAAGAGTGGCATCACTCAATATGCTGATGCACAAGTGAGATTCACACTTTGACCATTGCTGTGATTCCGTGCCCAAATACATGCCTTTCAGGCCAATATCCACACAACTGCTCGTTGCAAGAGTATCATGCACCTTCCACTTTAGACTGGTGGACTAGCTGAAAACGAAATACCCTGCTACGAGACCCCACCACTTTGCACTCGCCAGGCCTCTCAAAATCAGAAATGTGCTGCATGATGTTTAAATCCATCTGAGTTCTAGAAAACAAATAGATGATGGAAAATTAGTCCAATCCACAATACTTTACTGAAACAGGT